CTAGTTGCTGTATGTGGGACGTGGCCTCAGCATGGCCGGAGAAGCGGTGTGTTGGTGCGCGCCCGGGATCCGAACCCGGGCCACCAGTAGTGGAGCGCGCACACTTAACCACTAAGCCACGGAGCCGGCCCCTGTATTTAACAAACTTTTAATTTTAAAATATTTTTTGTGAAAATGTCGTAAATATAAAAATGGCAAGGAGAATTTAAACCACCCATAATCCCATCATCTTCTAGTTATTTCCTTTCACATTTAAGAAGAGACCAGCTTGTGGGGCCGGCCCAGTGGCGTAGCGGGTAGGTTCACACGTTCCGCTTCGGAAGCCTGGGGTTCGAGGGTTCAGATCCTGGGCTCGGACCTACACACTGCTCATCAAGCCATGCTGAGGTGGTGTCCCACACAGAGGAACCGGAAGGACCTACAACTAGGATATACAACTATATACTGGGGCTTTGGGGAGAAAAAAGAAAAAAAAAGAGGAAGACCAGCAACAGATGTTAGCTCAGGGTCAATCTTCCTCAGCAAAAAAAAAAAGGAGGATTGGCATCGGATGTTAGCTCAGGGGTGATCTTCCTCACACACAAAAAAATAAAATAAATGCACAAATGAGAGATAAACAAATAGAAAGAGGAAGCTATTTGCTTCTCTCTTGCCAGGATGCCTCACAACTTTTTACTCTGTATTAGCTCTTTGAGTCTCACATTCCCTACTAGCCAGTAAGCTCCATGAATTCCAGAACCATGTCTCACTCATCTGTATAACCCCTAGAGTGCCTAGCACAGTGCATGACAGATCTTCAGTTTAGTTACCACATGGCAGATTATATTTCCATTTTACAGACAGGATTAACCTGAGGCCATGTACAAGATTCTGTAACTTGTCCAGTGTTCTTCAGTTAAAAAAGCAAAAGTAATCAATGTGCTACCCTCATCTGCACTAGCCTCAACTGATTACAGTGCATCCTCATTTCTATTATGCAGTTTACTCTCGACTATTTCAAGTGATCAGGGAAATGGCAGAATCAGCTATAGTTGTAAATTTGGAAAGGCAACATATCAACTCTTAATAGAAACAGAAACTTCCTTTTAGTTATAAATACCAAAAATATTAGTTAGCACTTGAGTGTTTACTACGAACCAGGCACAATGTTCAGCACTTTACATATGAATTTAATCCTAACAACAATCCTAATAGAGAGTGCCTGTTGTTATACTCCTATTACGGATGAAGAAATTAAGTCAATTAAGTAAACTGACCAAGAAAACACATCTATTAACCCTGGAAGAATGAGAATCTGATCCTCATCCTGTGAGACTCGAAGAGTCTCTGCTTTTAACTACTTCCTTATGGAATGACAAACACTATTTACCTACAGGCACCAAATATACACAGTAGCCCCACAAAGTGGGGCTTCTTACGGGCTAAACGGGTGGAAAATGAAAGTGACAACTGCATGCAATCCACACGTGCACTTATATTCAGATGTGTAATTCCAGTGCTTCTAGGTCAGCAGAGACAGTGCGTTCTCTACAGAGCAAGGGGTTCTGGTGGGATTCAGAAGCCAGTGCAAGCCGAGCAGCATGGAAGAGTCTCCCACCTCAAATACACAAGTCTTTTATGGGACTTCTTGGTAAGGTACCTTTTTTCCCAGCAGAGCTCAAACATGATGAAAGACAACCTTAGTAACTGCTCTGAGCTGGCAGCTAGAAATGAAGGAACCTCACAGTTCACTGCACTCTTCTCTCTCTCTTTCTGTCTCTGCCCCTCCCCACTCTGCCCCTGCTTATTAGAGCAACAGATACACCACCAACACTCAAGAGGCCTTAAAAGCTTCCAAACCTGGAGCCCAGACTCTACATACACCTCACACAACTCAGGTGGTCCTTACTGTTAGAGACTGTGAAAAGTGGAATCGTCTCTCTACTCGAGAATCATTGGGTAATTTAAAAATGATCTTGACACTTTCAGGGTCATCAGGGGAAGGCTCCGGGGGCAGACACTCCAACTTCCTTTCCTTTTCCTCCTGTAAATTCTGTAGAGACACAAAGCAGAGGTGAAGCTAAGGCTCCAACAGGGAAACAGGAAACAAGAAAACACCATCAGCACGTAGGCTCACTGTGCAGTCACAAGAAAAATTAGTGACATTACCATAAAGAAAACTGCTTGGCAAGAGTCAGAAACACCCTAATGCAAAGTACTATTGCATCATATGTATCATTTACTGACTACATTAAGGTATTTAACTGTCCAAAAAAAAGGGAATGACTAAAAAGACACTGGCTATAATCAAGTGGTAATAAACAAAGAAACAAGATCATGAATGAAATGCCAAATCAACTAACAATGCTAAGAATGAATACTTAAAAACCACTGCTGTGGGGGCCAGCCCAGTGGTGCAAACGGTTAAGTGCGCGCGCTCCATTGC